ACAGCAGTCCTCCTGCCTCAGCCGCCAGAATACTGGAATTACAGGTGTGCGCCATCATGCCCAGCTGTGCGCCACCATGCCCAGCTGTGAAAAGCATTTGAGGGCCGAAGTCTCCCCTGATCCCCTACCACCCACTGTGGACTCTTTTTTTTTTTTTTTTGAGACAGGGTCTAGATAATTCACTAAATTGTCCAGATCAGATTTGAATTTGTGATCCTCCTGCCTTAGCCTCCCAGAATTCTGGGATTATAGGCTGCAACACCACACCCAGCTAATTGTGGACTCTTAAAGTGGCCAGATGTGATCACTACTCATAAGTCTGTTCTGTATAGGCACCTACAGCAAACGTTCAGGTTCCTGGACCCAGAGATGACACTCGCTGTCCTCCAGCAGTTGCAGTGGTAAGGGACTGATTCTTTGCAAGGCAATTACTCTGGAGACAGCATAATGAATGCCACATGGAGAAAGCTCTGGGGACTGGAGAAGACAGGGGAGGGGCAGCTGGCCCAGTGGGTGTAAGGGAGCAAGGCTGTCTGGAGAGAGGCTTAGAAAAAGAGTAGAGATTAGCGAGACAAACAGGGCGCTGGTAAGGATAGCTTTCAGCAGAGAGGAACAGGTGAGCCTTGGTGGGTTGCTGAGAAATGGTGGATGAAACAGACAAGGGCAAGAGGAGAGGTCTGTCTGTGGGCAGGGCGGAATGACGGGGCCTCGAGGCAGGACCTGTGACTTTCTGGAACCTGGGACAACCGGACCTTCTCACCATCTCTCCTGATCTGGGAACCTACCCGCTGTAAACCAGACCGGGAACTTTCCAGCATAATTTCAGCTCAGATCTGTAGCTCAGAGGCTCAGGCGACCAGGCCTGCACATAGAGAGCTTGCTCAGGGCCTGGCCAGCCTGCTGGAGCGGGAGCTACAGGTCCTGGGATTCCCCAGACCCTCCAGAGGCTGGAGGCCAGGGCTTTTCCCTCTCCAGATTCTGAGCCAAGTGAGTAGGACTGGAGGGGATGGGGGATGGAGCGAGAGGCCCCACCTGTGGGAGGAACGAAAAGATCCTGTCTCAGGAACAGGACTTTGGAGTGTTCCTGATTCTCAAGGGTGGCGTACTCAGGCCACTATTTCTGGTAAGGGTTGAAGGGCAGGATTTCAGCTCCACTCAGACCCAAGCCTGCACAGCACCCTCTACCAGGAGGGGAGGACAAAGAACATAGATATGGATATGGGAGCAACAGCCCCCTAGCCCTGGAAGGAAGGGTCAGAAGGCCAAGCTGGATGGAGGACTCTGTTGTCCTTTAAAATGTTTAATTTATCTTTTAAAGCTTCCATTCTTTTATTATGCTCTTGAGGGTAGCTCTTTTCCTAAGGGGGTGGCAGGAGGTAGGGACAGATGCCTTAAATACAGTACCTAATGTCATTCATTTCCACCTGAGATGGAAAAGACAGAGAGGCTGACCCCTTTCCTCTCACTACATCCTCCCTCACCCTTTACCCTGTCCCGTCTCCCTCTCTCCCCTTGGCCCAGGGGAGCAGGTCTCTAGCGCCCGACAAAGATAAAAGTTAAAAGCATCCCAGCTGCTTGGTTGAGTTGTTTGAGACTAGCCAAGGCAATGTAGGGAGACTTGTTTTGTAATCCCAGCACTTGAGGCTGAGGCAGGAGGATTGCCACAAGTTCGAGGCCAGCTTAGGCTAGGTAGTGAGTTCAAGGCTAGCCTGAACTACATAGCAAGATCCTGTCTCAGAAAAGAAGTTAAAGGCAGAGAAGCAATGGGTGGAGTAGAGAAATAAAACTAGGGGGACAGTGCCTCTCCCTTCCAAGACCTCTGAGCTTCCTGTCTCAGGCCCAAGGACCTGGTATCGGCAGCAGGACTAGGCTGGGAGGAAAGTCCCCAGGTGACCTCCTGTCCTTTCCCTGGAGGCATCCTAGCCTGTCTCAGAGCCTCTTTAGCAACTGCAGCCCAAGCCCCAGCCACTGAGATCATTTACCTGTGCTGTCCAGTTTTTCATTCTTTTTGTTTTTTAGTACCAGAGATCGAACTCAGGACCTTGCACTTTCGAGGAGCTGGAACCACTGAACTAAATCCCTGGGCCCAGTTTTTCATTCTTAATCCCCACAAACCTCATGAGAGTTTAATCCCATTTAACAGATAGGATAACTGAGGCTTGGGGAAGTGAAGTGACTTCTCAAGGTCACACAGTTTAAAAGTGGCAGAGGCAGGAGTCTACCTTACTTAAGCCTGCTGAGGGTAGCAAAGCTTGGCCAACATCACTGCTTCCCGCACTGTGCCAGCTCATCCCAAGCTCAGAGTACCCAGTAGCATCTCCTGCACTCTTCAGTGCCTCTGACCAGCTCTTCCTGAGCAGCCCGTGTCTGCCAACCTCCTGCTGCCCTTCCACAGCTGCAGAGGGAGGAAGCTGGGCTCAGGAAGGTCCTGCAATCCGGTACCCTCACACCTCCCACACCCTAGGGCTGTTTGATTCTAGTACCTCTAAAATGAGGGCCACTTGGATTTTTGTGGGGAAGTGCACAGGCAACAGGCCAGTGTGTCCTGGCACATGGGAAGAGACTGAGCTCAGCTTGGCACACTGACTGGGGGACAGCCTGGCCAACCTCAGCATCACACATCAGAGTAACCATGGTGGCTTTTGTTAGTTGGGATTACAACATTCAGGAGGGAGGAGGAGAGAAGGAGGGATCCTAGAGGAGGTGAGGAAGGGATGGGCACCACTGACTCCTAGGGGTTCGGATGGAGATTTGTAGCTCAGGCTTCCAGAGAAGGCATGCCAGGTCTCTGTGGGTGAACTCAGCTGCAGGCCCCTGGGACTGAGTGCTCACCTGCCCCAGTGGGAGTCTTTCTCTTCCCCACTCCTGCTGGCTCTGACCGAATCATGCCTGGAGCACCTGGGAGCAGCAGGAGACCCACCTGACTCCTGCATTTTGGAAAAAGGACATGCACTCCACCCTTACCCAGAAAGACCTACACCCATCTGTTGAATACATGAAAACATGGTTTAACAGGCAGCCACTGATCTGTTCCCTCCCTCCCTTCCAGAAGCACAGGTTTAGAGCCAAAGAAACTTGGGTTTGAATCCCATTTCCTCTACTTTTAACTGCGAGTGGGACCCTAGGCAAGTTACTCAGTCTTTCTGGGTCTCAAGTTCCTCATTTGCAAAGTCGAAGAGTGTTGTGATACAGGACCTAATGAAAGAATATATAATAGCAACAGTAATGCTTATCAAGTGCCCACTGTTTTCCAGGGTGATTTGTGTATGACCTTATTAAATCCTCAAAACTACTCAAAGATTGGTGCTACTATATTGCTCCCATTGTATAGGCAAGAAAATTGAAGCTCAGGTAAGTAAGTTGCCAAAGCTGGCAAACTGCAGAGCTGGGCTCCTTCCCTCAACAGTCTGACTCCCTTTCCACCATGCTCTCAGATACCCCCATGCTCTGGGGGCAGGTGGGGATGGGCACCCACAACCACAGGCTGCCTCCCTACCCCATTTTGCAATAGCACCCAGAAACACTACCCTCAGGGCTGGCTCACTGCCCAGGCCCCAAGACCTTCTTGGTCCTGTGGCCGACTTCTGATCACCTCCCAGGGTTAGGGCTGGGTCGGACATCATATGGGTGTGTGCAGGTGACACAAATGAGGGTAGCAGATTCCAGGAGGAGGCTGTGTCCTCTGGGTTCATTTGCTTTCAATCTCCCATCTGACCACTTTTCCAGCATAGGAAGAACCTGCATTCCACTGAGTCATCGAAACATTCCCCAGGAGTGGGTGCTTTAAGGGGAAGGTTTACTGAGTTAGGTCTTCCTCATCCTCCAACTCCCAGCCCACAAGTGACTTCCTCCAGTAATATCCTCCACCAGGCCTTATCTCTTGTCCCAGTTAAAATGAATGCACTTCTTTTTTTTTTTGTTGCTGTGATTGTCACCCCCCGACACACACACAAACTGTTTGCTGCTTGCCAGCAGATTTGAGGTGGCACTGCTCACCACTGTCCCCAGGGCCTGACACAGCACCTGACACTTGCATATTCAATGAGTGGATGAACTGGGGGATTTGTCAGGGTCCCATGTCCCAGGGAGGCCAAAAGGCAGCAGTGACTGCAACAGAAATGGATGGTCATGACCTCTAACCAGGGGGTAAGGTCTGCCGCCCAGAGAGAGGAACTGGCTCCACCAGCCTCAGCTTCCTGGACCAGTTCACAGAAGAAACTGGACCAGGAGGACTACCAATAGCCGAATGGTCCCTCAGCCCCAGCCATGTCACCTCAGTTGACACCTTCCTTGAACACTTAGGTGTTGGAGACAGATGGCAGTTTTATTTCCATTTTACAGATGACACTAGAGCTCAGGAAGGTACATGTGTGCAAAGTGGCCCAGCATGTGATGAGTGGAGGTAAAACTTTGAAGCCAGATGGTCAGAGCCCAGACCAGATGTCTTAATCCCAGAGCTTTCTTCCTCCTGGACATGCCTCTGTAATCAGATGGTGGGCCCAGCCTCCTAAATGTGCCCCTACCCTTGCTGTGTTCACACATGCTGAATACCTCCACTCCCATCATGCAAAGGGCATCATTGACTATTACCGTGACATATACTTACTGAACACACACTGCCTTGTACTAGGCACATTAGTGAACTGAAAAAGACCGGAGCTTGCTTTCACCGAGTGTCTGTTCTAGTGGGAGATAACCAAATTGATACGTCCAATTAAGAACTGTGATACGTGTGAAGACAACCATCTCTGAGGGAGTACAAGTGATAAGACATACTATAGACCGAGGGGTCCGAGATGATAGTTACACACACACAAGCCACCATTCTTCCACTGGCTTAGTCCTCACCAGAGAGACAGTCAGGGCTCCTGCCTGCTGGGACTTGGGGGATAAAGGGGTTTCTCAATTTGCTCACCACCAAGGAAAGGTGCTGCTGTCCACGGCCATTTTGCTGTATACAGAAGCAAAAGGTTCTGAAATTCCAGATTCCTGTGACCTCACAGTTAAAAGGGAAAGGAAGGCAAATTTGACTTTGTGTTTTGTCGCTCTGGGGTAAAACAGGAAGGATAGGGTCCCCTGAGCCAGGATCGGTGACAGCTGCGGATCTTGCCTCTCTCCGCGCTCAGAAATGCAGTGCTCTGTCGCCACCTGGTGGGAGGAGCAGATAATACGAGGGGTGGCCCCTTCGGGTAGGCTCCGGAATGCGGCTGCCTTCGGGCGGAGGCTCCCAAGGAGGCCGGCTTGGGTGACTTCCCGGCAGGGGGCGGGGTGAGGAGTAGGAGCGAGGGTGGAAAGGGAACTGCTGCTTGAAAGTCAACTGACTGGAGACCGACAAAGGCCCCATTGTGTCCAGGGCCTTGACCTTGATTTCTTGCCACTCTCATCCCCAGAGTGGCATCACCCGGGTCTGATTGGGCGGGAGTCCGCTCGGCGACAGTGGGCAGGCCGCGGGGCTGGCCTCCCGAAGGCCGAGACGCTGGGCTGGCCCGGTCCCCGCTCCTGCCACCCTCGGAAACGCAGGAGTGGGTATGGAAAGGGACCGACCCTATCATTTCCTCGCTGCTGTCCGCCAGCAGGAGGCAGGCATTGCGGCTCCCCCAAGGGCTGCGCAGCCTGCCGCTGAAGACCTGGGAACCACAGGCTATGAGATCCGCCTCCGAATTAATTCTGGGGTCCTTAGACACAGGCTTTAGCACCACCCATGTTTACACATTCCCTTGTAAAAAGTATTATGCAAGACAGTAAAGCTAAAGCTTTATCACAGTCAAACCTCCTGGGACAACTATTGTTCAGTTTATGTGTGTCCTTCCGGACCTCATTCAATCTCTCATAGGCCAATTGGTACATATGAGAATGCAGGGTTTGGTGTTCTTGCTCTCTGGGCCTCAGTTTCCTAATTTGAAGATGGGGATGATAATAATAGGAAATTGCAGAGTTACCAAGGTTATCTGAGGTAATTCATGTGGAAAGCTTAACACAGTACCTGACAGTGTAGATTATTCTTGTTGTCATTATTGCAGCCTTTATTGTCATTGTCATTGGGATCCAGACCCAGTTCTGAGATCTCTATTGGTTGCCCTTTCCTCCCTCCACAGCCTGTTCTTCCCTTCTTGCTTCCCCCTCCTAATGAAACAGGCTGTGATAAAAATCTGTGTTCTGTAATGCCTGTGTTCTGTTTTGTTTTGGGGTTTTTTAGGCTAGAAAGAGCATCTGGAGTTTTCTGCATCTTCTCCCCTTCCCTCCCCTCTCTCCCATATTTGACCTAGATGCGACCACTCACCCTACCACAGAGAGAATGTTCCCATTCCAACCCAGAGGAAGAGGCATCAATGGCCTGCATGGTGTTGTGGAACCCACAGTGACTCTCCATACAGACTGTCCCTGAGGTACAGAAGGATGAGGGCCCTGGGAGAGGCCACAGAGGGGGACAGGTAACTTTGGGGTCTGCTGTCAGAGCACTGGGAAAGTTTGCAAACAGATGCAGAGAAAGGCAAGTTGCATCACCTCTGAGTCTTGGCCTCTACCTGTACAGTGAGGTATGACAGTAGCTACCACGTACAAGTGTTGTGTGGATAACCTGGTCCCTGCAGAAGGACCTGGGCTGAGAAAGCCCCTAATATCTAGTAGTTCTTATTATGTTGTAAACAACATGTCCTATTTATTTAGCATTTCAAGTTTCAAAGGAAATTAACGTCTTTCTTCTCTTTAAAACAAGCTAGTCTTGGCTGTATGAAAGAAGTTTGATTTTGATTTATAAGTCTCTGGAGAAAGGTAATTGACTTTACCTGTTTCTGTTGAAGCATCTGAACGTCACCTCCTGGAACTGTTGTTGGTCCCCTAAGACCGCCCTCAAAGCTCCCTCCACCCAGAGACTACTAGGATATCAAAGAACTTCTCTGTTCCAAAAGATCCCACCAAAAGGAGAGAGACAGAACCAAATCACCTATTCAGCAAGCATCCACTAGATGCCTGCCCTGGGCTGAGCCTGCACCCCACAGTGCTTCACAGCCAGAGGGTCCCTGGAACGCCACAATTTTATTTCAGAAAAACACTCATTGCAAATACTGGCTAATATTTTCTCAGTGCTTATTAGGTATCAACTGGGTTTTTTTGTTTGTTTGTTTTTTGTACCGGGGATTGAACTTGGGACCTTGCACTTTCGAGGCAGGCAGCAGAACCACTGAGCTAAATCCCTGGCCCAGGTACCAACTGTTTTATAAGACATCAAACAAGTCTAAGATAGGCAAGAGTCTTGCTCTTAAGTAATTTATTCTCTTTTTTTTTCCCATTAAGTTTATTGGTACATTTTAGGTATAAAATATAGTTTCATTCATCATTGGGATCTTGTACCATTACATGAGTATCTTGATTCTTATTTTTTTCCCCTTCCCCTGCCCTCCCTTCAACCCCTCCACCCTTCCTTATTTGCAGAGATTTTGTTTCCATTTTTTTCCTTATCTCATATTTTTTCTTTTCCATTCTTCCCTTTCCCTTACCCCTCCCACTTCCCCTGCTCCTTTAGACCTTTTCTTCCTATTATACAATAACAATTATACATTTTTAAAATTACAATAGGAGACATTAGCACAGATTTTACAGAATTTAAAAGGATATAGAAAGCATATTACAAAAATCTTTTTTGAAATAAATTTGA